CAACATCAAATTGCAAATTTATCTAAAATGTTATCTGTTTATCAGTAATTTAAAAAAAAAGTTAATTGTCCGTCAAATACACGGAGATTTCCACCTCAGACAAGATACTGTAAATACCACTTTGGTGTTGCTAGATTCAAAAAGTCATGTTTAAAATGTTAGAGAATTATAAATTACGCCTCTATCTTACATCCACATCCTCACAGAAATTTTTGAAATCTGTCTTCATTTTGTCCCTCATCTAGTTTTCCTCAGTCCTATGTGATCTCTCTCTTTTCCCTCATCACTCTCCTCTGTCTTTGTCCTTTGTCCCCTATCACTGCTGTTGAACTGTTTGAGCTTGTTAACCATCATAAACTAGGTTTTTTGCTCAAATACCAAACTGATTTAAAAAACAGGGCTGGTTTTGAAAGCACTGGGATAAATGTACCTTCTTGTTCCTTTCAAGTTACAGACCAATTTACAAACTCCCAATAATCTTAAAATTCCTAATAAAAGTTGTCTCCTCCCATCTCCACAGTCATATCAAGTAGTTTATACATGAAAGAGTTTGTTTGGTTTTCATCCCTAGCATGTTAAAGAAACAACCTTAATCAGGATCACTCTCGTTCATCCATTTTTTTTCTTCTCGACCTGTGTGCTGTGTTTAGAAACCTAAACCATCCTTCCCCACTGTCTGCAGCTCTACATTGGTTTCTAAGTGGTTACTTTTCAATGGTTTCACTCATCCCTCACCTCACAGAAGGGACTAAATGCATGGCCCTGGAGGTGGCAAAATCCAGACCTCACAAGTTTACCAGTGGGGTCCCACTGGGCTTTGTGTTCAAAACTTTGCTCTTTAACATTTACATGGTTCACTTTGATTTAGTTGTCAGTAGGCATTTCCTAATTTCAATTAATATGCTGTTGAAACACAACTCTAACTCAAAATCACCCACTCTAATGCTACTTGCCTTTGCTCCTGCCTGGAGGAGATTAAGGATGCATCAATTGCAGCAAAAAGGCTCCAAAACAGAAGCAATTCTGTCACTCAATAACTGCTCTATTCCCCGTTCACAACTAACTCCCAATTTAGTCATACTGTTCCCCTCTCTCCTGATGTTACTAACCTGGGAATTATCTTTGACCCCTAGCTTTACTTACAGTAGCCATGTTGCCTCCTTTTGCAAAACGTCTTCTGCCACCTCCTTCACACTGTTATCCTTATCAGGATTCCTGATAGGAACCTTTAAAAGCTCCAGTGCTTTCAGAAATGCTCAGTAAGGGTTCTGATGGGGTTAAGGAAGAGCAAACACATCAACCCCATTCCCAGCATACTCCACTGACTTCCTGATCGCCTCTGTATCAAGTGAAAAATTCTCCTGTACACCTATAACTGTAGCCACACCACCTACCTCGCTGAACTTCTATGCTCATCATACAGGACCTAGTCAGGCCAACTGCACCGTCTGCTCCTGCTAAGAGCACAGCTCAAAATGATGGACGGCAGAGCTATTGAACCTGCCGCTCCCTACCTACAGTATGGTATGCCCTTCCAGACCACCTTAGGATTCACACAGACAGTGGACACTTTTAAGAAAGAACATAAAACCTTTGTTTTTAGAAAGACATATAGCCAAATGCTGTTATGACCATTTATGCATTCATATATTTGAAAAATATTTGCTCTTGCAGCACTTTTCGACTTAGAATCTAATTTAAAGTGCATTAAAAATAAAATGTATTTATATTATTTTCATCCTCATTGCACAAGTGGTGTGAGAATTGAATCTGCTTTTCTTTTTGGTGAATCTAAAATTGATTGAAGCACAGACCCTCCTCTAGCCTAACTGTTTGGACAATTCCATTTTGTGGAATGGGGGAATACATATTTCATTATAATTTAGACTGCTTGGGTTGTGGTTTTATTTAAGGTCATTGTGTTATTACAAAAAAAGACGTATGTATGTAATGATGTTTGGAGGTGGACACACCTGTGTCCCCCCAGGATTTCCGACTATGTTTCACAGCTTAGCAGACATAGTAACCACCTAATCATAGGGTAATTTTGGCAATTGACAGCATAATGGCCAGTTATGGTAAAATCTGTTGGCAAGAACCCAAGCTGTAATCTGTACCATCAGTTTAAAGACTCACAAATCAGAGATTAAAACTGATTACTGCAATTCTACCTGATGACAAAACATCTGACTGCACTTTATGCTGTCTATGTACAATATTAAAGTAAGAGAGGAAAAAATTAACAAAAAAAAAAAAAACTAAAATGTTGTTATTGAATTAAAATATGAAGTTTAATGAGAAAACTTAAGTTAACTTGGAGATAATAAGAATTTCAATTCTAACATTTCTGGAGTTTTTGTTTTTTTTAGTAAATCTATTCCAAAAGCAAGAACAGGTTACTTGCATACATGTGTTTTAAAACATTTACTTAATTTGATTATATTTTGATATATTGATATATATTTACAATTTAAGTGGAAAACACAGCTTTTAATATACAAATATAACATCATACAAATTATTAAAAAAAAACATGTTTGAACTGAAAGTTAGGTTTACTGTGGATTTAATGATATTGTGAAAACATCCATGCTTGAAGAGCTGCCTTTTTTTTCTAACTTCAGGCTGCAACATAGCACAGCGTCTGCCCTATTAATGGTTCACAATGAAATTTGGAAGGTGTCCTTTTTTCCTGAGCTGTCAGACCTTACAATGGCCTTTAACAGTATCAATCTTTCTGTCTTTTTGTCATAGTTAAGCTACTATGTTGATATCTGAGTCCCAGTGCTTAAATAGTTTACATCCTATCAAACCTAAAAGAATTTGCCTTTTCACTGTAATAAATATTATCCTCTACCTGTCTTTTAATACTGGTAACAAATTCTACAGTTCTTTCTAGACCAAAATGTCCTGTTTTTAAAAAAAAACAATAGAATGAATACAATATGTCAATAGAAAATATAATTTCTTACATTAGTTCCTTTAATTATAAATGTAGTAAAATTAGCAATAAGGCAAATATTTTTTGAAAAGACTCAATTGAACAACCATGCTTAACTTTTGACAAACCTTCCATTTCAGAAAAAGTTGAGTAAATTAGAAGTAAAGTGTATTTATGAATCACCTTTCATAGATTAAGCACTCACAAGTTGACTTGTTTACACTATGCTGACTTTGAGAGTTACCTCTATTACAACCTTACTCAACTGGCTGCCTTTTCATTTTAGAAAAGATCATAAACTTAGGTGTTTTTCTTTTAAACTTTTAATGTTCTCGCCCTGTCATGCTTAATTCTTAAACTATCTGCTTGCATTTTAGATCCATGATGTCCCTGCCTTGGTTCTTCTAAAATGTTTTAAAAGCTAAATAGAAACTGACATGACCACAACGTTTCATATAAGGCACCTATACTTCCTCTCGGTTTAATCACACAACTTAGCTTTTCAAAATACAAACTTCAGGTCATTTTGTTTAGGAGGGCTTTTAATAATAAGGCTTTAATTCTAGATTTCTTTCAGTTTTTTATTCTTTTATCAACTATTCTATCTGAATTATTTTCCTGTAGAACACTTTAGCTGTCTGATTTACTGTTGCAAGGGACTACATTTTTCAATGAATTAAAAAAGAAACAGAAGAAAAAATATTTCTATTTATTCATTTTGTAAGAACTCATACTCAGTTTCATTGTTACATACATACACGGATGCTAAGACATACAAACAGAGATAGAGAAAGACAACAGAGAGAGTGGGAGATAAAGGAATATTTGTACAAATGAATAACTAAAATTTTGATCATCACCACATTTTATGGACCTACGATCTGATCTACAAAATTTAGTTGGACTTTTTATTATGTGGTTTAAGAACACCTCGTTTATAATCTAAGTTACCTGACTTAAAAAAAAACATGCAAGAATGGCACCATTTTAATAAAGTACGCATTATTTTATCCTACATAACTTTACATTTGTCTATGTGTAGCACCTTATCACCAAAAAATAAAGATGAAAATACTCCTTGCACCTTTTTTTCCCCTCCTTATTCAGATTTTGCAAAGAGCAATGCAAATGGCTTGGCTAGCAAAAATACCCTTGACAGATGTCAGGTGTTTTTGATCTTTTTTTATTGTTATTATTATTCATTCAAGAAGTTTCTTTTTAGAAAAAGTTCATGTTTTATTTTTTCTGATTCAAAAAATTCGATATGAAGGAGGAGGTGTGTAACTACAGTATTTTTTCAACTTACTTTAAATCCATGTTAAAATCTTACAAAAACAAAAGCATTTTTGTTGACTGTATACATGTAGATGGAAGTTAACCCCTAGACTGAGCTCCTCTCCAGTCAAGAGGCTGTAAACTAACTGTAACTGAATTCAGCACCATGGACAGTGGACATCAAACTTTTTTTTCCCCACTGCAAACCTTTTTAAAGTAATAGTGCAAAAGACAATGCACAGACCACAAAGAATGGTCCTACCATTCATCACACTTCTAAAACCAAACGTTTTTAAAGTCCAAAGAATTTGTTTACATGTTTGCTAACGTGTTGACAAGCGAGCAGTTTACTACACCTGTTTTTGAATTGAAGCAGTGATCAGATTAGCAAGAAATAAAGAGATAGAGCTGAAATTAAAGTGCTGCTTCAACTTTTAACTTAGTACTATCAATTACAATATATTAAAATGCATATATTGCTAGCAGACTTGTGCTACTCGGCCTGGTATTGCAGTCAGAATTGCTTAGTTTTTCCCCTTAATAAAAGCTGCAACGCTAATTATCAGCCGCTGTAGAATTGGTTCGCCCTAAAAGCGGATTGTTTTCTGTCCATATTTACATTTTTACGAACAATATTGCATATAAAAACGACAAACTGCGTTATGTAGCTAGGCCTGGGCTAACAGACAGATGTTTTGTGTAGTATCTGAGACTCAGTGGGATTTAACGCACCCAATTAACGGCTAATAAAGCCACGCGGTGACCAGCGCGTCGCAAAACTTACCCAGGACGAAGAAAGGAAGCTCGGTGTTTTCCAGGTCGTCCACAACAACCACGTCCCCTGGAAAATCGTTCCTGACGGAGAATAGCAGCTTGGGCTCAGAGGCCGACGGACTGTGCATGATGCTCAAGTCGTTATCCCTCAGAAACGGCAGCGCTGACACGGTGACGCTCTTCATCTTGCACTCGGTATCCTGGCTCTGGTCCTCGTCGCCGTTCAAACCCTGAACCGAGGTGGTTCGGGCTGCTAGAAGCAGCCACAGCAGCCCCAGCAGCAGCGATGTCGGGTCCATGTTTAGACTCGCCATCTCCGTCGCTCTTTTTTCCTCTCACTCTCCTCGCTGTTTCTCCTGCAGCTGCTTGAGTCTCCCAGCACAGCGCCGGAGAGATGTGCTGAGTGGGGTAAATCAAGGGCAATCTGAGTGTGGAAAAAAAAAATGCAATTTCTTGTTTCTAATCATTTACATATTTATGTTATTGTTATTATTGTTGTTTTGTTTTTTTTTCTACTAGGTATTGACTGTTAATGCCACTGACCCCCTTACTGTAATTGATCGATAAGCTGTCTGAATAGCTCTGTAATGGCTGAGCATGGATTACTAACAGCAAATGCAACCAATTTGCCCTTAAGGCCCCATCAACAGCAGCATCTTCATTTTTAATCTAATTGTACATTTGCCCTCTCATACTAATTTGCATGTCATATTCAAAGAGACATCACTGGTATCTTTAACAGTTTGCCTGACCTCTTTTATTGGTCACACAAAAGGCTGCCGCATGCATAATTGCCTAATTGATGGTGGTGATGCGCAAACCGACTAATAAAATTCCCTATGCTCCTACAGTGTCTGCAGCATCACAGATTTATTTGTGTAAGTTAGCTGTTTTAGAGAAATCACAACACCACTCATTGTGTACAGAAAGACTTTAACTCTGTCATCTAACCAGTGCATTTTCTGCATTGAAGCATGTGTTCTCTGAAGATCAATGTTATGTGGCAAAGTAAAATCCAGATACTGATGGCTTAAATGAAAGTTTCCCAACAGAACATTGCCCAAAGCATCACCCTGCCTCTAGTGGTTTACCTTGTTACCATGGTGCCTACTGGTATTATGAATTTGCTTGGTGAGCAATGGTAAAACATAACAGGCTACCAAATGTTGAAAAAACAAAAATCATCCCCCCCCCTTTTTTTTTTTTTGCAGGGCCAGTTGTGATGCTCAAACAGCTGTCGTTAATGTTCATGTTGGTGGACAGTGGTCAACATGTACTGGTGCACAGACCCCTACATTATGCAACAAACTGGTGACGTATTGCAGTGCTCCCAACAGGAGCCTCTGTCCTGCAGGTTTTAGGTATCTAAAACAAGCAGGGCAGGGGTGGACCAAGGTTTGGGAACCACTACTGTAATGAATTGAATTCTTTACATCACAGTGAATTTTTTTTATTCCTTTCATCAGAAACACTACTGATCTTTTCCAGAGTCTGGGACACAGCTTGGCCATTGGGTCAGATGATCCTTTGTTCCACAAATTCACTAGGAACCCTTTATATCTAAGGACCCACTACCATTGAAGCACTTTGATAAACGCTAATTACCGTAGACAATAAAAATATCACAATAGCTCAATTTTTGTTAGTGGTGTTACAACATCGTCTATTCATCAGGATTTGACTACTTTCTAGCTAAAATCTATAACTTAATAGAAATCAATCCTTGTTAGTAACTGGTTACAACCATTACACTAAACTCTGCACCATGTTTTGTTCTCCTCATATTTATTCTGTAATTTCTTCAGTTAACTTTTTATTAATTCTGTTGCAACTCCATCACGGAGTCCACATGAATTTCACTGAAACCAACATTTTTAGTGGGCCTTTTTTTTATTATTCTAAATCCCATGGCTGCTTTATCAAACACACGATTGCAATTTGGATTTGGACACAAAGCCGTAAGAAAAGAAGATTGTGTTTTTCTGTGTCACCACTGTCTATCCATTTAATATTTAAGCAGCTCTGTGGTCTGCTGTTAAACTGGAATATCTGCTTGTCCTCTTAAAAAAACTGTTTAAAAGTAAAAAAATAGGACATGTAGCTTCAAAGCCAAAAGTGCAGTGTGGAAAAAAAAAAAAACAACTGCCTAAAGTAAAATATCCTACAATAGAACTGATGTGATTAAATAGGATAAGTGGACTAATTTGTGTGTTCATCTATTATTTATGCTGGTCTGATTGTTCCTGAAGCTATCATTGAGGATACTATAAATATTTTAGACTATACAGGGTTTTTGTAGGTGCTTTCTTTTGAGTTAATTTTTGCTATTTCTTCAGTCCTGTACATTAGGGAAAAAAAGCTAGTTGGAGGATTGAAAAAACACTTGCTGAAATAATGCTTTGAATCATTAGAGGAACTTTTTAGATTGTAAAATGTCTGCCACTGTAAATGAAAGTGTTAGCAAATCTAAAAATATTTAGCAAAAAAAAGTAATAAATTAAAAATAAATGATTAAAGTTGTCTGGAAAATTCTTTACCATTTATTACATCTGCAATTTTGATATTTTGTGCTACAGTTTATGAACAGTGTATTCAGCAAAACATTAGTGTTAGGAGGCCTTGTAAAAATAATGTTGTAAAGAAATCTACCTTTCTTTACAATGCAGTTTAAGTGTTTAATTCTTAATGCTGAAAACACTGTGTAATGCAGCAACTACAAGATTGCATTGTTTTTTTTTTTCTGTTTTTTATTATCAATCTTATTTTATTTGTGTTTGTTTTCAAACATCAAAAGATAATGTCTTAAATGTCTCAAAGGTGTATTCATTCATAAAATCATGGCACGTTGAGGTTGACTGTGTGAAGACATTTTTTTTTTCTGTTGAGGGTGGAAAAAACAAATGTGATAAAAGCACTATGCTGTCCTCCCTGCGCTGGGGAGTTCATTCTAAGATAAGCCTTGTAGGTGGGGTCCACAGAGAAAAGGCATAGCCATCATCCAGAGATAGAGGCATCTAATGATTATGGCACAGGTCTTAAGAAATGAGGACAGCAGGCACCTGAAGAGGTACCCAGAGTTTCTAAGGAACTATGTCTATATCGGATAATTTTTCAAATTGCATTTTAGGTCAAACTTACTTACTTCTTATAAAAAAAAGTAAACATTCCATTAACAAAAAAAGAAATAGATGAGATCCAGGTTTTATCCTTTTTTTTATTCAATATTTGGTACTACATAAATTTAACCTACAAAAAGGGTTGTTGACATCCTGTTCTCTGAAATTTTAAAAGCAAAATAATTGTTTTTTTTGTTTTTTTTATGCTGAGCATGTTTTTTTCTTTCATTAAAAACAGAAATATGCATATCTATATATGTCTATAGAAGACTGAGAAAGTTATATACACTGCTTCATTGTAAATATTGTGCTAAAAGCTGATAAATCTAAGTTACTGCCAAACCATTCCTCATTAATGGCAGTAAAGTGTATTGAAATGTCTTAATTTAGATTTTTCATTAGATTTTTCCTAAAACAGACTGGACCTATTTCATTGTATTCTTACAAAAGACACTTTTAGTTGTAAAAACATGTCATTCTACACAATAGCTTTTGTGTTAATCTGAGTTATTATGGACAGTACTGTTAAATTATGTGTTTTCTTTGGAAAAAGTGAGCTTTCAAAAAATGTCTTCATTGTTTTTAAACAAGTGAAGTAAAGGGACCAACAATAAAACAGTTTTTCTTGTTTCTTAGTGAGGTCAAAAATCTGCAAGGTGAACAAAAAAGAAAAATAGGATCAGCACACGGTTTCAGATTCTTCTGATGATATTTATTTGGTACTTTTAACCCTTTAAAGCCCGATCCATGAATAAAACAAAACAGAAAATTACTTTTTTTTTGGTTTGAAGTCCTTTTTTGACCTTTTAACAAAATATGTAAAAAGAAAAATAATAATATTTTATTACTATGCGATAAGTCAAGATTATTTTTTGTGTAGTCTTCTGCCCTCTGTTATCAGGTATATCTGATTGTGTACAATAGGATTTTGAGCAAAGTTTTTACCATTAAATTACTGTATGCAAAAGGTGTCAGATGCAAAACATTTCAGAAACCGTATGTATCAAATATGATGCATTTGGCATTACAGGGTTAGCTCTGACAACTCGATTTTTTTTTATAACCAATTTGCAGCACACATGCACTTGAGTGCATTAAACCACAATTAAACAGGTAAATAAACAAAAAACAGAGTCTAAAAAGAGAAACAAGAATAAAATTATTAATTAAATTGACAAAGTCATCTACATAATTAAAGGGTTTACAAAACAAACCATGTAATACAACATAACAAAAAAAAAAAAAACATACTTAAAAGAAAAACAAACAAAGCAACCCAGCAAGGTAATCAATGATATCATCCAACCATGTTAGCTAGAAATACTGGGACAAAGAATTTTTGAGTAAAAAGGAAAGCAAATACAATGAATATACTTTGAAACAAAATACACAAGTTCAACCTGTTGGGATCTGGAGCTGTACCACCTTCCAAAAGTAGTAGCTTTAACCTAAAAATATAAATAGATGGAAACTGCAACATAATGCTTACACAAACAACTCCGGGATAGGGAGTGAAGTTCCAAACTAATGTTTAAATTTAAACCAGATGAATCAGAAATAAGAATAAGGGACAAGTCATGAACACAAACTGAACCACTTTGTCACATTAATGTACAAAAATGAATAGTACTTTTCCTTTCCCAATTATTCAGAAAAATTTTACCTTAAGTACTTTTTCTGATCAGTGAATTTCACTTTTACTAGCGTAACCTTGTTTTAAACAGTTTTTACCCTTATTTAGTTATCTTTTATATCTTTACAAAAACGTAATAATAATTGCAGGGTGAAAAACATTTTGGCTCCAGACCAGGAGCAACATCAGCCTAGATGTACTATAAATCCTTCATTTGAGCATAAAATACACAAACAAAAAAAAATACAAACAAAAACAAACATTTTGTGCTTAGACAAAACAATTCCACCTAAAGCAGTATAATGTTAAGATATTGCTCTCTGCTTTTTCTCATAATAGCTTTAACTCGTCTGTTCTTGTTTGACTGTGACACCATCCTGGAGAGAAATATCAGCTGTGCTGCTTCTATCAACACCTTTGTTTGAGGATGTATGAGCTTGCAAGTAAATTTTATTATGTTTTTGTGATCTCCTACGTAAAAGTATTCCCAGCGCATCCCTTTTCCAAATTTTCAGATTATTTTAAATTTTGTCACATTATAATCACACACTTTATAAATGTGGAGTTAACAGGAAAGACTCAGACTAAGTAGCACATACTTTTAAGGTTACAGAGTAATAACAAGGGGTTTGAAGTGCCTCATACTT